ATGCCCACGCACGCACACAGACACACACAGACACACACACACACACACACACACACACACACAGAGATACATAGTTGTTAGTCAGAGTCTTTTACTCTCCTCAATTAAATATTGAACTCTGGTTTAAAATAATTACTGCATAATAAATGAATATGTTTACCTCTGCTTTCCTCTGAAGAATTAGATTTAGTTCATTTACTGCATCTGTAATTTGATTGGTTTCCACACACCCCAGAATACTGCATATTTTTTTAACTGCTTCAATAATGTTATCCAGGTTTTGCTGTAGATGACAAGAGTCATGTCTTATTGTTTATTGAAATCAAGAGGACACTAATTTACCTTTAGACTTCCTCTCTGTCTGTGAAGAGGAAATGGACTAAAATGTGGTTGAAATGTGGTTATATGCTCCCACACAAAAAGAAAGTTTTCAAGATTCCAGTTATCCTGTAACTCAAGCCACAATTCACAGTGAGTACATTTTCAAAGGCAGGACTGATTTAACGCTAACTTACTTACTCAACCTACTAACTTCATTCTAACTTAACATTACTGAGATAAAATAGGAGAGAAGAGGAGGGAGGGGGAGAAAGAAGGTGAAGGAAAGAGAGAAGTGGTGGAGAGAAAGAGAGAAACTCAGCTTACACAAAGTCTGTGGTTTCTGCAAAACACTTTGAAAACAAAGTCATAATGGCACATGTCGAGTTTCAGAATGCTTCTGTTTTTGGAGTCAGTGTACAGGAGGGCAAACTTGCTGAAAACCAGATTCCCAGAGTTCAGAATAAACTTGGGACAACAAATTATGGTGTTGAATTGTTTTGTAATTACTTGATTGCACTGCCCTTTAAGCAACTGTTTCTGAAAAATCACTGATGACAAATATAGTCTACAGGGATGAAAAATTCTTCTTAAAATCAAAATTGCCATCTGCAGTTAAGATACACAGATTTTAAGGTTAATGTCCTAAGAGCTTTTCATTAGTTTTTCTATATCTCAGCTTTGCACATGTAGGCTTTCATTAAAAATATCTGCTCTAGTCTGACCTTATTCTTTTCCATAAATTTCCATTAAATATGGTGATAAATCTTTCTTTCTTCTTTAATTCCATGCTAATCACTCTACAGTATTTTTCTATACCTTTTCTATATCACTAACAAGGTGGGTTTCCAAAACACATCGGCTCTGTCACCAGCACCACAATCACTCCAATGGAGAATTAGAACAGTTTATATCAGGAAGAGATGAAAAATATTTTTTCTTTTCTTTCATACAGAGATATGGATTTACAGCACAGAAAGATTTTTAAGTCTACTTATTCTAGAGCATTTTCTTAACAAAACACTATCAATACAAAGACATGGCATGAGTTTTATATTAGTGAAATATTGCTTTACCTTTTTCATGGAAAAATAGTACTTTTTAATATGCTGCCAGTACTTTTGATACGTGATTTTACAAACACTAAAAACAAATGACAGAAGCCTAGGAAAAATAAGTAATGCTATAAAAGACAAAACAGAGATGACAGAAATGTCAATGAGTTTTAAATGAGCTAAAAGTAAGAAGATGCAATTTAGTTGAGATACATTTTAAGTCTCTCAAAGATTAAAACAATACAACTACTCAACTATAACCCGGAGAAGAAAAATTTATGATTAATCCATATGGAAAAAAATCAGTTTTTTCATTTATATGTGAACTCAATATAAGTCAACATTGTTATGTGGCTACCAGAAGATCTACTTCATTATTAAATTTAATCCAAAGACATACACTCTTTATGACTAGAAAGTTAAGAGTTCCACTACATTTTTGTGTAGTATATAATTCAAACTGTAGTTTGGGTACCATATTTAAGAATGGACTAGACAAATTGGATTTTCCCAAAGGACAGCAACCCCACTATTAATATATGATTAATGTATATTCAGAACATGATGGTGACAGTATTTGCAGCTCTGTAGCCAGATTCCATGTGTTCGAATAACGGTTCTACCTCTTTCTACCTGTGACCATCATCATAGTATTTAACTTCCAAGTGACTAGCTTACCTCTTTTGTAAAGTGGGAGCAATAATAAATAATTACAGGACTGCTCTAAAGATCAAATGAGATAAAATATCAAAAAAAAAAATGCCTGGCAGACAATAAGGGCTAAATTTTAGTGTTTAGTTAATTAATTTTTATCCTTTCAAACAGATGTTTCCATTTATAAGAGAAATCAGACACTGTACATGCACATATAACTAATAAAATGAAAATTTAAATCAAGAAAATTATGTGAGAGGTTCATGTTAAGTGCCATATTTATTTTTATTCACACATTCTAAGTAGATGCATTAACTTGTGAAAATCCATAAATATTACTAAGTAAAATGAAAATTCTACATTCTAAATAGATACATGAATTTGTGAAAATCCGTAAATATTACTAAGTAAAGTGAAAATTCTGTGTTAAGTCACTAATTTTGGGGTAGCTAATATACTCAGTCTACTATTCTAGTCTTGCAGTACTTCTTATCTGGTCTATTTATCTCTTTTAGCCTTCACAAAAATTCTGAAAGATCAATATTATATTCATAATATTCATGAGATTGCTAGAATATGTTAAGGAAAATATTGCACTTATAAAATTAACTTGGTAATTAACTGGATGTGAGAACAGAGAGGTTGGATTTAAGATGACTCCATAATTTCACACCTAGAATATGTTAAGGAAAATATTGCACTTATAAAATTAACTTGGTAATTAACTGGATGTGACAACAGAGAGGTTGGATTTAAGATGACTCCATAATTTCACATTTGGAAAACCAAGAATATAGGGTGCCGTTAATTATGGCAGAAACACAGACAAAATAGGAAGATTTTTAGTAGTGTCATGATGTGTGTATTTTTTGATACACAGAGCTTGAGCTGCCCAGGGTAAATGCAGTGAGGTTCTAGCTTTAGCAACTGTTAGACTGAAAAAACACAGACACAGTTCACCCTTCACATGCACACACACATGCTTATGAATACTAGATGGACTATAAGAAAAAATTGTAATGCATAGCTTATTCCAAAATGAAGCTAGGATAAATTTCTGGGTGACAGAAATTTAGAGGAAACTTCAAGCCTGAGCAGGTACTCCAACATTGATGTTGCAATAGCCTGCAGAAAATATCAGAGTAGATTGAGGTCCTCAGGCTTAGGGATTGGAGTTTATTGCTCACATTGGGACAAGTGCTGAAATCTTAGGCCTAAACCAGTTGGTGGTTGTCGGGCCTTAAAAACTAACACCACCTTAAGTGACATTACAAGTGGCGCCATTATGCCTAAGATGGCGCTGGGAGGAAGTAGGGTGGGAGTGTCTGCGGGAACCTTGCCTTAGCCCTTATTGGCCAAATACACGCTTCTGCACTTGTGAACACTGCAGATTGCAATAGCTAGGCATTGAGACAGGATGCATGCTCTCGTAACCTTTAAGCTGACTGGAGGATGTAAAAACCTCCCTTCCCCATATGCCTTTAAAAGCAAGTGCTTGTGTGATAATAAATGGAACTGCTCAACAGAACCCCCACCGCGTCTGAGTGTCCTTTAATGGGCTGGTTGGGGCCGGCGGCTGTGCTCACCTCTCTTCACGGCTCTCTTCCTCCATCTCCTCTCAACGGGACTGGGAAAAGAGGAATCTGGGCAATCCACCCACCCACCAGAAGGGACACCAAGGGAGAGACTGATAGCAAGGCAAGGGCTGTTTGGGTCAGCCAGTGGCAGACCCGACAGGTGGTGGTAGGGGAAGGGGAAGAACTAGAGCTAAGAAACCTGAATAGATGCCAGACACTGGATAGACTGCCTCCTACAGAGGATGGAAGAAGAAAAGCTATGCCTACTCACCAAGAGAACTTTTGAGAAAGTTTCTCTCCACCCAGAGTCTTTAAGTGAGGAAAATAATTACCCCATAAATTGAAACCCTAACCTGTTATGTGTGGCTGTGGAGTATTAATTTATCTTACCTATAGAGGGAATTTATATTAAAAATTGCACTGGGCTACTGTGACTATTTTAGACCTAAGGAGAAGCAAATGAAAACCACTGTATAGAAATACTTTTGTAACTCCAAACCATGGAGTTTCTCCTAAAATATACATGCATATACACATGCATGCACACATACACATATACAAACACACTCTGGTAGGAGGGAAATAATCAGACTAGAATTTATACATCCTATAATGGTTGATCCACATTATGAGAAATTTTACAGACACAAAACACAGTAGGACTAGCACCCTCTTTCAAAAGACATCAAAGCTATATTTAGGCATCAGATGTGATACCTGGCCAATAATTTGAATATGATTGTCTAGAAAAAGAATATAGATAGAGGGAAAAAAAATTGAAAGCTAGGTGTATAACATTTAAGAACATCTAATATTTCGATGATGGAGGAGAAAGTTTGGGTCACAGAGGGATCACACAGACTGCAGAGACATAGCCATAAGACTGCAGCTTAATGGACATCTAAGTAAAGGTAGTTGATGGTACCAGGACATTTTAGCTTGGAAGAAAAGAACAAAAATGAAACATGACAACCATTTTCAAGTATTCAATGGCCTTTCAAGTGAAAAGGGGATGAAATTTACTGTAAGTAGTTCTGAAGTGATAAATTAGAACAAATGATTGAAAATTTAGAGAAGTTCTTTTTGGTTTAATATGAAAAAAAATCTCTGTCAAAATTATTTGTACAAAAATTGAGCAGGCTGACTTATGAGGAAAGACTTCCTGCAGATTACAGGTTCGTGAGTAATCAGGAAAGTTTAGAGGAGATTTTTGCATTGCATAGGAATTCAGACCACCTCTATAAATTCTTTTAACTCTGATTCTTTGGGTTAATGAAAGCTAAAAACCATGCTGTAATGTTATTTTGTGCTATATTCCAAGCTTATTTTAGGAAACATTTGATGTATTGTAGACTCTGAAGGAGCACCACTCTAATAGCTTAGATATCGAGCATACCTGAAAAGTATTTTGAACATCGGAAAAGAGTGGTGGCAAACTTTTCTCCTCTGCATCTTTCTGGAAAACAAAACAATGAAAAAGAGTGTAAGGGTTTTTGTTTTTTGTTTTTGTTTTTCCCTTTCTCATTTATTGGTGATGGAGACTAAAGTATTGTGCATTTAAACAGTCATGTGAGAGCTTACCATCTTCTAGATTTTATATAAACTTTAGAGAGTTTCTTTTTTTTTTTTTTTTCCTTTTTGTCTTTTTTACTGACCAGTAATGGGATCGCAACCCTCGGTGTTGTGCCCGCACTGCGCTCAGCCAGTGAGCGGGAACCGGTCTCCACATGGGATCCGAACACTCGGCGGGAGCGCCGCCGCACTCCCAAGCGGCGCACTCTCCAGTGCGCCACCGGGCCGGCCCTAGAGAGTTTCTATTTGTGGATACATACTGAAAATTGTCAAATTGAATTAATGAGTTTGGGGACAAATTGAGAATTTAGAATGCTTTTCATTCCAGGTTAAGTAGTTAGTGCTATTATAAATTATTTTTTTCTTTACAGATTAAAAATAATCTTTAGAGTTAAAATGCAGAACATAGTTTTCACTGTAAAAATTGAAAAGAGCCAGAGAATATACAAAATCATTACTTTTCCTGATGCCAGCAGAGGTTTGAGGTCACAAGGTGATTGAGTAAATTGAATTAAAAGGAGTGACAGGCCCCTCTAAGGGGAGATAGGACACACAAAATGTTTAACTTCTGGCAGGACATGGGAGAAAGAGGGGGCCACCATAAAAGTGGGGCAGAAGAAATCAGCTAACATTTTGACAAATTCATAAAGGCTAGGTGAGAACAAGCATGTCAGTTTGGAACATCAGAGGGCCGAAGAGACAAGGGGAGTTTACAACCACTTTCATGTTCTTTTCCACGTACACCTACCAGTTTTTCAGGGGAAATATTAAAGGCAGTGCATTAAACGGAAGCCCCAATCAGTGGTGCAGGCCTGTAGGTGATCAGCTATTTCTGGGGGACAGGTACAAAGCCCTGTCCACTTCTGTGGATACTTCTTTCATAAGAAAGCAAAAGCCTTAAGCTGCCAGGGGAGAGGGAGCAAACCCTCTGTCACCCTGGCCTCAGGCAAAAATCCTTTGCTTCTGGGGGAGGAGTAGAAAGAAAAACAGTCTGCCTCTGGGAAAGAGGCAGGGCCTAGGTGAAGATCCTTTGCTGATGAGAGATGGGTAGAAGCAAAACCCTTCTGTTCTTGGGGAATGGGCAGGAAGCCATGTCTTGGGTCCAGGATCTTACAAGGAAACCAACCAGAGGTCAGCTTCCAATGGGAGAAGGGGCAGTAAGCTCTCTTCTGCACAGGACTAACTTCAGATATAAGGCAGAACTTGGTTGCCATGTGGTGGAGGGACAGGACTTTCCCTCAGAAAGTCCTAATCTGGGGGCTGGCCCGGTGGCGCACTGGATAAGCGCGCCACTTGGGAAGCGCGGCGGCGCTCCTGCCCGAGGGGTCGGATCCCACATACAGACTGGTTCCCGCTCACTGGCTGAGCGAGGCGCGGGAGCAACACCGAGGGTTGCAATCCCGTTGCCGGTCCCCGGTCCGGTACGGGGGCAACACTGAGGGTTGCGATCCGTTGCCAGACATGGAAAAAGACAAAAGACAAAAAAAAAAAAAAAGAAAGTCCTAATCTGAGTTTGCCTGAGGCTGTGATTGGATCATTAGTACGGGGGCAACACTGAGGGTTGCGATCCGTTGCCAGACATGGAAAAAGACAAAAGACAAAAAAAAAAAAAAAGAAAGTCCTAATCTGAGTTTGCCTGAGGCTGTGATTGGATCATTAGTACGGGGGCAACACTGAGGGTTGCGATCCGTTGCCAGACATGGAAAAAGACAAAAGACAAAAAAAAAAAAAAAGAAAGTCCTAATCTGAGTTTGCCTGAGGCTGTGATTGGATCATTACAACACAGAACTGCCTTGGCCCCACCACCGAAGTGAGTCTAGCAAGAGTAATATGCAAGAGCAGAAAACTGCTGGGAGAGGGACAAAAACCTAGCTAACCGCTACAGAGGAATTTGAAGCCTGCAGTGTCCTGATGATAATGATAGCAACAAAAAACACAGACAAAGGTCAAGTCTCTACTAGATTGTATCAACCCTACACTAAGAGCATAACAGAAGAACACTGACCGTTTCCAGGTATGAATACAATTTACCTCGGTCTTTAATATTGGTCCACACTTGATGTCTAGCATTCCATCAAAAATTATGATCCACACAAAATGCAAGATAATGCAACCCATTGTGAATAGATAAAACAATGAACAGAACCTGACTAAGAAATGATCCAGATGTCAGAATTATTAGACACAGACTTTAGAACAAATATCCATAAGATGCTACAGAATCTAGTGGGAAATGTGGACAACCTGAATGATCAGATGGGGATCAGCAGAGAGTTGAATCCTATACAGAGAGTCAAATAAAAATGATATGAAAATGATATTAGAGATAAAGTAACAGGCAACTAACTTCATATTGCAACTATATAATCTTCAAATAACTTCATACTCAATTGTGAAAGACTGTGACTTTCTCCCTAAAAATAACAAGGAAAGGATTCTGTTCACCTCTAGTAAAATTCTATTGGACATCTTGGCAAGTATTAAGTAATAAGGCAACTAAAAGAAATAAAGTCCTATTCATTAGAGAGGAAAGAGCAAAATTGTTTCACAGATGTCATGATTGTGTATGTAGAAATCCTAAGCAATATAAAAAATAGTCTCTGGAAGTAATAAGTGAATTCAACAAGGCACTATATACCAGGTCAAGATATGAAAGTCAGTTCTATTTCTATACGCGTCTCTTAACAATGGGGATCCATTTTGAGAAATGCATAGTTAGGCGATTTCCTTGTTGTGTGAACATCACAGAATGCACTTATACAAACCTAGGAGGTATATTTAGCCCATTGCACAACTAGGCTGTATGGTATAGCCTATTGCTCCTAGGCTACAAACCTGTACAGCATGTTACTGTACTGAATACTGTGGGCAATTGTAACACAATGGTGTTTGTACATCTAAACATATCTAAACATAGAAAAGGTACAGTAAAAATATGGTATTATAATTTTGGGGACCACTGCCGTTCATATTGGTCTGTCATCTACCAAAATGTCATTATGTGGCACATGATTATATTAGTAACAAAAAAATGGAAAATGATATCAAAACAGCATTTACAATATCATACAAAACCAAGAAATACTTCAGGGTAAATTTAATAAAGTATGCATAAAACTTGTACACAAAATTACAAAATATTACTGAGTGAGATTTATGACAACCTGTATAAATGCAGAGATAGATTAGATTAGATTGTATGCTCATGGATTACAAAATTCAATATTTTAAATATAAATTCTCCTTAAATCCATGGAGTCAACACAACTATAGCAACATACCTAGAGCAGCCAAACATTTTTTTTTTTTTTTAAGAAAAATGTTGGAGAACTCGTATTGCTTGATTTCAAAACTTTCTATAAAAGTATGGCAATTAAGATAGTGTGGACTTGTTTTTTTTTTTTTTTTTTTTTTTTTCCTTTTTT